GGGCGGGAGGAGGAGACACGAGTTGAAGCCTAAATCCCTGACACAGGCAGGTTCTCACTGAGACCAGAGGGGCTAACAAGGCCTGGACTCACCCGCCTCGTGGATGCCTCGGTACCGCCCACTCCTCAGAACTGAGGTCAGGAGCTGGCAGCCCCTCCGCACGGGCCTGCATGTGCCGGGCCCTGTGCCGAGTGTCCTATGACCAACCCTCTTCCTAGATCAGGAAGTGGAGGCACAGAGATGAATTAGCAGCCTGCAGACGGGGGTGGGGAGGCCTGCTGGCAGCACCCCCTGAGCTCTTCCCCGAGTGTGAGTACAAGCTCATTGTAATTTTTGAAGCAATTTCCTTTTCTGTGTTAAAGGCTTATCTTTGCAAAGTGCAATTATAACATGACTGTGATGCAACAACCTGCAAGTTCAAACCCTTTGTTAGAGCCCTCCCCGGTTGAGCAATGCGCCTGACTCACCAGCTGAGTGGATATTTCGAGCTGACCTTGCCCGGTCCGGGAGCCAGTTCCCAGACGTGACTGATTGCGCACGCAGTGGAAAAGGTGCGGTCATGTTGCCTGGCCTTTATTTTTGCCCGACTAAAATCACACATACTTCACTATTTCCATTGTCATCCAGATGGCATCGGTGCTGTTAAAAGTTGTTTATTTTTAATTTGTATTGAGGAATGAGAGCACACTTGGGATTCAGTTCAAAATGTGACAGAAACAATGTAATTGAAGTTTCCTTTAATATTCATCTCTTGTTTTTGTAAGGTAGACCTGTGTTTCGTAGGGTTAACACATTGTTTGATATCCTGTTATTTTTCTAAATTATACTTGAGTTGATTTTTATCCAAATCGGACTCATACGAGAATGTCGAAAGATGTTGACCTTTGATCACAGACATTACATAAGAGATTTTCAGTTTCAAAATGAATTTATATTACCACCACTCCCTATTATCTCTCAGATTTCTCTGCAAATAACTTTCCTGTAGTATAAAAAGAAAATGCTGTTCTCATATGGTTTGAATCAGAGCGCATGAGCTGTTTTATGATAAGAAAGTTTAGTAAGGATTTGCTAGAAGCCTTTCGTAATGATTTGTGCAGTTTCATTGGAATCAGAATATATATAAGCCTTTTTAGTTATCAGAACATGGTGTCTTTTATTAACTAACTTTCCAGAGATCTTAAACTGCAACTAAGTAGCCTCCCAATAAACACTCAAAATAAACATAAAAAACCTGCCCTGCTCCTAAGGCACATAGTAAAGCAAATGACATTTGTAGTCATCTGCAAACTGGGAAAGAACGTGAAATTAGCCTGGCCCGTGTGGCTCAGTGGTTGAGTATGACCTATGCACCAGGAGCTCACTGGTTTGATTCCCATCAGGGCACATGCCCAGGTTGTGGGTTCGATCCCCAGCATGGGGCATGCAGGAGTCAGCCAGTAGGTGATTCTCTCATCATTGATGTTTCTCTCTCTCTCTCTTTCTCTCTCTCTCTCTTCCTCTCTCTGAAATTAATGAAAACATTTAAAAAAAGAAAATGAAATTTAAAAGAAGCAATCAAACAGTCAAACTGAGGAGAACTGGAATGCTTCTTCAATATAATCACAAACATGCCAGAACTTTCCCTCCCATACCCCTCCCACCCACCCTTTTGCCCACACCAGTTTTGCCATCATGACTTGCTGTGTACTTACCCGCAGACTGTCCTGTAACTGGATTACCTTGTGATTGGTGGTGTCCCTTAAGAGTTGAGCTTAGACTGATAAATTATTTTTCTGAAAGTGTCAAGAAAAAGATCCCCATTTTGAAATGACTGCAGATTTTTAACAAGTGCACTGCTGTTCCGTCCCCACCCCTCTGTTCCCTCCATCCTAGGGAGGGTGGTTTTGTCCGGATTTCTAATGCCCCGCAGCTGTGTTAGCCTCCTCGCAGCTCTGCGCGGCCTTCAGAATATTCTCATGTGCTAGGTTACAAACACTGGCTTCTTTTATTTAAAAAAAATGCCATTATGCTGTTTTATTTCAATTCCTTCAGTTGTTTCCCTGCTATAATGCAATGCAGTTTTATCATTTATTTGAGTTTAAATCTCATTTTCAAGTCGTCCTTTGTGGAGGATGAGGAGCAAGAAACTGTCACTCATCACAAAGGCGATCAATGGTTTTGACACATTATTTGTGGATGCGCCCAAATAGGAAACGGGGCCAGTTGTCGCTGTGACGGGCTAGGTTTTAGCAAAGTGTGAGCGCCTGTTGATGTGTGTTCATCTCTCAGTAAACACACATTTCTCTCTGGTTTAATGTTCAAGTCTGTGTTACTGCAGACAGAATTATATTGTTAATGGGAGGCACCTCACTGGCACTTGGAGAGGTTTAACATAGTTTTCTATTTTTAATTTAAAAAGCCTTTTATTTTTCTGACTGATTAGAACTCCTCTTTCTTGCAACTTCAGTGTTTCCTGAGTTTTTGTCCCCCACTCCACCCTTGATTGGACATGTGTATTTTTTCCTGCTTAATCTCTGCTTTTAAATACTGGCTTTCATTTTTATCCATGAAAAGAAGTAAAGCATTTTATTGAAACAGTCATGCCATGGATTGTACACACAGGAAGAAAATGTAGGTTAATCTTTTACTAGTATTAATAGTTTAAAGAGCTGTGAATTGATTAACTTTTTTTCCCTTTCACTTAAATGGCACTTATCTCCAAAACAAGCAACTGTCTGCTTACTGGGGAGATGACTTACAGTTGCACATAAAGGCCTTTGTTGCTGTTAATGATGTCTGTACTATACCTCTCAGGGAATAAACAGCGCATTCGAGAGAGGAGAGGAAAGATGAGATAGTTCTATAAAAATGTTTCTATATCATTGGGCATATGAAATAGTATTTCCTCTTTTATTGACAGATTTTAAAATAAAAATATATAAAAGGAACAATTTGCAATAAGCCTTCTCCTTTAGAGAGAATTAATAACAAATTTTCCTATAATAGCTTTTAGTGTCTAAACTATTAGTAAGAGTTCAGATACTTGAAACAAAATGCTGCTTCTTTTCTTGCTCCCCAAAGAGTGTGAAATGTGGCGGTCACTTCCCAGGCGGGCGGGAGGCCGGGAAGAGACAGGCCGCCGTTCACGCGATGTCAGTGATGAGGGCGCTCCTCCAGGAGGGACTTGGCCTGGAATTGATGTCGTAAAGTTTCATTCTTTTAGAGGAATTTTCTAAGCCACATTTTAATCTTAATTAAAAGCAATATTCTGGTCACTTGTGTTAAATAGACTTTAAAACTCCCGACTTATGGACGAGAACTCCTGCCTGTGGAAATAGTGCCACGTGCTATGGGAAAGCATCCACTAGCCACAGCACGTCCACACTGGACATGGGAAAAATGTCCATTCGGGTGTGATGACGCCTGCTCTTAAATTTCTCTTTTTATTTGTTTTTAAGAAGCAGCCACATTACCTAATGGGTGTAATGAAGCTAATCATGCTGGATACACCCACATCATAGAGTTGGCATTTAGTGTCAGTTACTCACCAAAAAGGAAACTAGAGCGGTGGCTGATGCACACGATGTCCGTGGTGGTCAGTGCAGGAGGCCGAGGCGAGTGGCTGGCACATTCGTCACCAGGGGCAGCCCTGGGTTTGAGATGAAGCCATTGGCGAGCGTGCACACCGATGTCTTCAGGGCGCTAACCTGCCTCTGCGCCCGCCCAGGCTGAGTTCATGCTGAGAGACGTGCAGAGGCGCCGGGCCCTCTCCGGCTTCAGCTGCCCCGTGCTCCTGGGACAGCCACTCGCCTCCTGTGGTTTAGCGCCCACTCCACCCCAGGCTGAAAAGGGATACAGTGCCAAAGCTGCGATTTTCTTTTCCTCTATTTATTTTAGCATGAATAAAGTTTCCAAGAGGTTAATATTTTAGCCGAGATAGGAAAACTTAGTGTTTTCTCAATTCATTAAATACCTTAGGTGTAAAGCAACTCTGAGGAAGCTGGAGGAAAGTTCCAGGTGGTGCCTCTGTTGCCTGAAAGGAGTTCTGGCGGCATCTAGCATTGCCATCCTGTCCCCACGTGAGTCGGCAAATGGGTGTGTATCACTGAGGAACGACGGTGACACAGAGGAGCCGCGTGTGAATGAGACGCACTGCGGAATATACACCCCACCGCCCCTGCCCGGTTAGGAGAGGGCGCTGCCGGAGGAATGGGATAGGAGTTGGGCCAGGTGGGGCTGCGTTCTGCCACTTACCTGGCTGTGTGACACTGGGCAAGTCCCTGAACTTCTCGGCGCCTCCGTGTTCTCACCAGGAAATGGTTATTGTGGGGCGATGGAGTAACGACAGGCCAGCCACAGTGGCTGCTGCACAGTTAGTGTCCGTAAGTGGAGCCGTGATGATGGTCTTTGTTTTTATCATCATACCACGACAAAAGCAGTGCAGCTAGCTGCAGTGTGGGAAGTGCACCAGCCCCTTTGGCCTCACGCCTCACAATCCCACTGTCCTCTCTGTCTGTCTCCCACCAAAGCCCGGGAGTCCTGGGCACCTGGGAGTTTGGTTTTTCCCCCCGGCCTTCATATGCCCTGGGCTGGCTCAGTGCACAGCAGGGACATGTGTTGAATAAATCGATTAATGAATAAGAGAAGCTCTCTGCTAAGAAGTAAAACTTTTCTTTTTAGAATTTACAAAATATTAAGAAAAAAACATCAGAAAAGTTTATTGGTTACAAAACTCTCTTATATAAGGCAAATGAGTTGCTGTCAATGAAATATTGAACAGCTAATATGTTCAGTTTGTTGCTAGGATACAAGTATGTTCATTGGGCTTCGAAGTGCAGCAGGTCCTCCAGTAACGTCTTATCCCGAGTTATTATGTGTAACATCGATGAGATGCCGTGGAAGCTCCGCTCTGGCGAACGCCGTTAGCCTGCGGTAGCATTGCTCTCGCATGGGTCCGTCGTGGAAGGTTACGGAGCCCGTTTAGGACAGCACGTGAGGCCTGCTGCCGGGCACGCGCGGCCAGCGACTGTCTCACGCTGCTGGTGCCCGCTTCTCACACCGCACGGTTATCGGGAAGATGATGTTAGAGAGAGTACCCCGGGGTAGTCTGTGGTGATTCGCGGTGGAGTCACAGAGGCAGCTGCTGGGTGCCCAGGAGGGAAGAGCCCACATTCGAGCGCGCGCAGTGCAGTGCGCCGAGGAAGGGACTCGCTCAGAAGACACAGGTTTCTGCAGGTGCGGGTGCTCCACAGCGCATGGTGATGTAAAGTGACGGACAGCCCGCAGACCCTGGGAAGAAAGGGGTTACGAGATTGAGACAAGCGGGGTATTTTCGGTAAATGGGAGTAGGGCTGCTTTCTCTCTGCCTCGGCCAGGACTCTAGGGGACTTTACCTGGATTAGGGAATACAGATCCTTAGAGGAAAGAAACCATTCCACGCAGAGGAAAAGCGCGTTTCTGTGTCAGAAGACAAAACCCAGTGGGAATGGTGCCGGGCCACTAAAGTGTAACCAGAAAGGCCCCTCTCCGTGCCCTCACTGCTGCCGCGGCTCCTTGCCCACATTTTCCATTAAAGTTGGGTTTTCAGAAACTTGGTATTAATCCCAAATTTCGCTAAGTCGCAGTTCACTGTTTTCGTGTTGGCTCAATTTGATAACAAGAATGTGGCATTAAACCTTATTTTTATGATCCTGAAATGATTGCATCATTCCTTCTATTGCTTCTGGAAACGACACAAGAAGGTGTCAGGCTTTTCCAGCTGATGAAATTAAGCTTCATCTCATTAGTCATCAGAAAGCTATGCACAGCCGAGAAGGGGCGGCTCTGAGCAGAAGCAGGCCCCTCGCCAGTGTGGCCGGAGGGACGCGGGCAGCCGCTGGGCGCTGCGTCTCCTTTAGGAGGGTTACCTTCTGGAAAATGAGGTGGAGAAACCTGTCTGGAATCACAGATCCAGAAACCACCACCAAAAGCCCGTTATGGAGCCTAAATGGGTTTATTATCTCACGGCAAGTCAAATTCAGGTTGTAAATATTTCGTCAGTGCAAGGGGAAGCTAATTGATGGTTTTATTTTTGAGTTTTTATATTTTGTTTGAAAGTAATTAGTAAAGTGAAAAGAAATTCTTTTCATAATTACATTCTTTCAGTTTAAAATATTTCTTTTTATTTTTATTGATTTGAGAGATGGGGAAAGGGGGAGGGAGGGAGGAGGAAGGGGGCAGGAAAGAGTGAGGGAAGGAGAGGGAAAGAAACATCAGATGTGTTGTTCTACTTATTCATGCATTCATTGGTTGCCACTTACATGTGCCCTGACAGGGGATCGAACCCACAATCTTGGCATATCAGGACGATGCTCTAACCACTGAGCTGTTGGGCCAAGGCCTAACATAATCTTAAGTTTCAAGAATCCTACTGTACTTGAAAGAAACACACCTCTGATTAGTCACGATTTATTTTAGTCCAAAGCTACTACATAAATGAAACCTATTTTGACAGAATTTTCAGGACTAGAAAAAGCACTTGGGGTGCTTCACTCTTAAGTGGATGTTTGATAAATCAGTTAGAAGGAACCAGAGAGAGGCACGTGCCCAGCTCACAGCGCGGGAGCGTCGGAGGAGCTGCTTGGCACTGCGTGTGCTGTGCGCCTGGCAGGCGGGGGAGGGACAGGTGTGTGTCCCTGTAAGAGTCAGACTAAAACAACTACAACTTGGTTGTTTGTGTGATTTTACTTAGTTTAGGGGAAATAAGAATTTAACTCCATTTGAATTTTATTCCATATGATGATAGGACTTGTTATGATAGTAAAGGAGTTTACTTGGAAAAGTTCCTCTTAAGAGGTTAGCGTGCTTGCTTCTCAGTGATATAAATGTTATGTGCAAGGGCTATAAAACTACCAACCAGAGGTGCCGCCATTTCCTTCCTGCGAAGTGCCATCCCCACACGCCCACCCCACCCCACCTTTCCTGCTCCTGATACAGCCTTCCTCCCATCCTCCACACCCCCACATCCTCAGCATCCCCGCATCCTCCACATCCCTGCATCCTCAGCATCCCCGCATCCTCCACACCCCCGCATCCTCAGCATCCTCCACACCTCCGCATCCTCGGCATCCCCGCATCCACCACACCCCCGCATCGACAGCATCCTCAATTTCCCCGCATCCTCAACATCCTCGCATCGCCAGCGACCGCGCATCCTCCCCATCAGAAGCATCCTCGGGATCCTTCAATCCATGGCATCATGCTCTATCCACTGAGGCAGACCCGCTAGGTCCCATTTACCCTCGTATAAAGTCACATTCCAAAATTCGTTAGCATGACCAAATGCCGCACTGGGCACTTCAGTCACTCCGCAGTCTCCTCTCGTGCCCTACTCTGATTTCTCCTAATACCTAACAGCGCTGGATTTAACAGTGTTGAATTTCCAAGATCCTTTT